TAATGTCAAGTGTAAAGACATGTGTCATCACCTGATTGGAGGATATTGTTTCATTAAGGGTAAAATGATAATTTCACATTAAATGAAGTTTAAATTCATTTAAGCTTAATAAATGACAAATTAACATGAAATTAACTAGGAATTTCATGAAAAATAAGGCATTCTTCAACCTCCATTTCGTGCCCCTCATAACCTAGGTAAGAGAATTTTTTTGAGCAATTTTCTTTGGATTTTGGATCGAACCGTGAAATAGAAAATTATTCTATACGGAGAGCTCTATCATTTGGTACCTTATTGCATGTTAATCTTGCTTGAATGTTAAGTTCCCAAATTTTAGGGTTTATGTTCATGTTAGGGTTTTATGAATTGATGAGGGATTTTTAGGTTGTTGAAGTTGTAGAATCATTTCCGAGTTTGTTTCATAATCAAAACCACATAGAAATGCTATATTGATTTTTGGCCTAAACCCCAAATTAGAGGAAATTTGTGACTTGATGGAATTATGTTTGGGGTTTGATTGTAGAGGTTTTAAAATGTTGAATAGAGGTTGATTTCACGCTCGTATCAAATTGAAATCAAGTAAAATCATGAAACCCTGCCCCTTAACATTCGAGCTAAGCTTTTGGAAGTGATAAAAATTATGGCAAAATTATACAAGGGTTAGAAATGATGTAAGAAGGATCCTACAAGCTTTAAAAACTTATTTGGACTAATTTGTAATTTTGAGAAAGTTGGGGACATATTTGACAATTATGAAAAGTTATGGATTGATGTGTAATTATTCAATACATGAATTACTATGCTGGAAATTAATGTTAGAGTGTTGAATTTGGTGTTAGAAAGGGAAATTTGACTATTTTGAGAAGTTGTCAAAGTTTGAGTAATAAATGGCAAATATTGAGAAAGTTAGCGACTTAAGTGGTAATAATGGAATCTTTGAGGTATTGTGCTGGAAATTATATACTGGAAGTTTAACTAAGTTGTTTGAGATTTGAATTGAAGTAAAAAAGGCACAGGACTATTTAGAATAAAATGAAAAAGTTGAGATGAATTCTAAAAGAATTCATAATTAGTAGTTAAAATGGAAAGTTGAAAAAGGTTATGTGAATTTTGGGTGAATTTGGATAAAAAGGAACTTGAATGGTCAACTTGAAGTGTTAAAGTCAATATTTATGTTGTGACATGAAATTAGTATCGAATGAGCATCGAAAGATTTTTAGGAATTTATTTTCTATTGTGTGCCTATATTAGTGAGATTCTAACATATGGTTTGAAATGTACATGTTTTGTAAATGATGTTCATTTAGATTGTGTGCTTGAAATCAAGATCAAGCAATGTTAAAGCTAAGGAGAGCTTAAGGATGAAATATGAATTTCTAAGGAAAGTTGCAAGCTAAGGACTCTAGGTGAGTGCAAATTTAATTTGTACTTATGTTATCAAACAAACATTGGCGATGAGCCAGTGAGGGAGTTACTATGGTAAGAAGTGACTCCTAATTGCTATGTGATTTGTGGTTTATGCATATATGTGCATTTGGTGAGCTAATAGAATTAGTGAATAAGCTGAATTTTGTAAATTGATGAAATCTACCTAGAGTTGTGTTCTAAACAGTAAGATTAGAAAATCACCATAAATTCTAAAACAAATTATTAGGGGATGATTTTTATACCGTTGGATTCTTATATCAGTTTTGTTTTGTTTAAAACAAACATCTTTTTAATCGAGCATAGGTAGAAAACAGGACATCATATTCTTCTCAAGACAACTTCTGTAAGTCAACTTTGAAAATTCACCATAAATTGTACCAATTGAACTAGAAGAAGTGTCTTATATGGTTAGATTAGTATTCAAGTCTAGTTCTCACTGGTATAAACGAAATAATTTTTAAGTGTGTAGATTAATATATAATAATATTTCTTTGAAGGTAGTGCAAACTGCCAACATATGAAACTTATCATAAATTATGTTTTCATGTTACTCCTATGTTATATACTATTATAAATGTTGAAATGAGTCAACTTTATTACATTTGGCATGATAGTTAAGATTATTTATTTTATGACGAATATGATGTGTTTATGTTTAAGAAAGTTAAATGAGGATGATTATGATATATAAATGTTATGTGGAAATGAAGTGTTTAGGGTATGAGCTACCCATTATGTTATGATATGAAAAGTCATTTATGTCAATTTATTGATATCTATGATATCCAATAATGTATAATAATTAATGGAAAAACCTATTGTATGTTGCTTTGAGAGTTATAGGTACACTTGGCATGCCAGGAAATTGAGTAAGTTCAAGTTAAGTCAAGTTATAGTGAATCCGTGTACAATACGTATGGCACCACTGGTGCATATTATATGTTTTGCACTTGGAGTGCATCATATGATTATGATTGGCACCGTGAAGTGCCTAGTGCGCACATTATGTATGACTCACATACTTTGCATTCTCATAAATGTGCATTGGGCTATGAACTTGAAAATAAGTTATGAATATGAAATTAACTTATGAATTTGAAATAAGTTTTGAGTCCGAAAATAAGTTCTGAATTTGACAATGAGTTATGAAATGTGAAAGTAAAGATTATGAAAATGAAATGTGAAAGTGAATATGAATATGAAAGTGAAAGATGAAAAATGAAACATGAAAGTTTTGTATTGTATATGAATGAAAAAGATTATGATATGACTATTATGTATAATATTGTTTATCATGGCTTTGATATGACCATTATGTCTAATATTGTTTATCATGGTTTTGATAAAATCATGAGATAATGATTTTCAGGTCATTGATAAGGAAAAATGGCTTGAATAAATCGATTTGAATATTTAGTGATTTTATTGGAATTTAAGTTAATGTTTTAAATTGTTATGATATTATTAAGTTTTATATAAGTGAATATGTTGTTTAGATGTTGCTAAACTATTTGATATTTTTATCACTTTAGTTTGTTTATATTGTCTCACTAGTATATACTTAGTGTGTGATGATTTTCACGCGTAGGTAAAGAAGAACAAGTGAAGTAAGGAGCTCTGTGGGCATCAATCAATAAAGAAAAAGGTTCAGGCATCAGTAATGACATCCTACTATTTTAAATTTTCTAGATGTCATGTATACAAATAAGACAAATCTAAAATATGTTATGATGGATATAAATATGAATTTAAGTTTTGTGTTTTAAATAAAAATTATATTTTGACAGAGTAAAAAATAATTTAAATTAGATAGTAATTAGGCAGTTTATCGCATAATATGGAACAATATAGAACTTCTAGTTGTTGCCTGAAACTGATATTGGTTTAGAGGCTTAAATACTATAATATGATTTTACGTGATTACATTATTTATTGAAAAAATTAAATTGGATAAATTTTAAAAGTTCAAAATTTTATTGGATTTTCAACCTTAGAATGTATGTAAAGCTATGTGACATCTTTGACTCGTATTCAGGTACGTATACGGGTTAAGGGTGTTACATTAAATCCTCCAATCAGGTGACGATATGTGTCTTAACACTTGGCATTAGTGACACATGGCACGATATGATTCGAAGGTTAAATTTATTTGAATTTATTAAAATTAAGAATAAATTGATAGAATATATAAGTAACAATGACCAAATGTGTAATTATTCCAAGTTTTTTTACTGTCACATCATTACTTCCGTTAACTAGTAACCACTAGTGGTTTGATTAAATATATTTAAACAATTAGGTGGTCTGATTGACAAAAATTAAAAATAGTGATCAAAATAAAAAGAGATTAAGGTGGTTACTGCTATAAGTTATCCAAAAAAGAATCCTCAAGGTAAGCGTGGCTAGCATGATGCCACGTGCACCAATTTATGAAGGTCTTGCACTGTATTATTGAAGGAGCAATGGAGCAGTTCCTCAATTTGGGAATTTAAATCTACAATATTTAATTTTGTTACAGGTAAATTCTACAGTGATTACCTAATTATAATTCCCTTTCATTTTTATTATTATTTTTGATTTATTATCAAATAGACTACTCAATTATTTAAATGCATTTAATTAGACTATTTGTCTTAACTGAAATATTATGACAGTTAATAAAATTAATATAATTATATATTTAATTATCAATATTTATATATTCTATCAATTTAATCATAATATTAATTCAATTTAATAAAATTAATCTCCAATAAGATGGAGATAAGTGTCACCACATTATTTCATCAACAAAAGGCTTCAATAATAAAACATGCTTTAAAGGGGGATCAAACCCCTAACATAATGCTCCCTAAAGCAAGCCTTAACCACTAGGCTAAGGTGCTCAATTTCTAAATGATTACAACATTCGGATACATAAGCTATTAAAATTAATGGAGGAAACCAACATGCTGTAGATTCAAAATTGAGATTTTAAGGTGTGACACTTTGCCATTAAACGAAACCCTATATTCAATTAAAATTTAAATATTGTATATATATAAGTATTAAATTGAGTTTTTCTTAAAAAAAGTAAAATTTAGATTTTTATATTTTTAAGTTATATTTATTTTTATATAATTTCTTTACATATAATCATTAAATTATTTTTTTCAATACCGAGTGAGACACGTGTATGATTAGGATTTGTTCCCAGTCCCCCTCAAACCAAGAGCCCGGGGGAGGGATCAGCGGCTAGTATCTCATCAACGGCAATGTCAAAATATTGGATCTAACGGTTGACATCGAATTGGCGGCTGCCGCCCAGTATTGTTTTCCAAATCTTGGACTTAAATTTGGAGTATGGTGGACAATTTTTTATAATAAAGAAATAAATTAATGAAGTAGCCGTTGGAGGTGATTGCTCCTATAAAAAGAGGCACAGACTTCGACACGCATGAAAGTTGGGTGGAAAAATATTGTAATAAAAACCCTCTTTTTATATTTCTCCTCAGTTTTTTCACCGAGGAAATTTCATCCTCTCTGTGATATATAGATTTTCAAAATTTTGGATTTTAGGGGTCTGATCGTAAGGATTATAGCCTCCTTTTTGTTTTATGGATGCGATTTTCATGTCATCTTCAGCGGAGAAATCTGTTTCTCCAAACAACAATAATATTCTAAGGAGATATAGCAGCGGATCTAATTTCATTTCGAAACAAAATGAAAACCTATTTCACAACACGAGCATCATCCATGGAGGAGGAGGAGGAGGAGGAGGAGGGATGATGTTTGCTCCTCCGCCGTCTCTTTCCTTCTCTTATAACCCTTCAGCTCCTGTTCTCAATCCATTATTCTATCAGAATTATCAGCAGCAACCGCCGTTCCTTCCTCTTCCGGTCCCTAATAAGCCTCTTCATACTTCGCTCCCTTGTCGAACTCGAAGCCTTTCATCGTCTCTATCTAACGTGAAAAATAAGAACCAAGATCCAAAGAGATCAAAATCAAAGCAACTCACTGGGAAATCGATAGAAGAGCCGAAGAAACTTCAGCCGAAGCCGACAGTGGCAACGAAAACACAAGCTGTAAATAAGCCCTTTGCGACGGCCTCAGCTGAAGTTTCAGGAACGGTTCCGAATGAAACCCCTAAGGTTGGTTTAGATTTGGACAGGCTTTCAAGCTCTATCTTTACGCTCTCTCCGCCACCAAGTAGCTTGCCTTTGCCTAGCTTTTGGCTTAGGCCAAAGCTTAGCTGCAACGCTGAAGCTGCTTCAGTAGACGATGGAGCCACCGACCATCTCCGACAATTCCTTCGTCTCCCTTGAAGCTGAAAAAAACTAGTACCCGACTTCGGTTTTGGTTCGCCGGTTGCTATCTGACGGGTCTTTTGCGTAAATAAAGGCCTTAATAATAAAGGGTATGTTTTGGTTTCTTGTTCTTCGTCTTAATTTTCTTTTGTCATGGGAAAATGTTACCATCACCTCTTAGGTTTTTCAAAGTAGAGGTGCATAGAATGGAAATGGAAAAAAATGGAACGCAGATGATAGAAGTTTGCTTGCTTCTTAGTTCTAAGTCTTTGGGTCAAGAATTTGTGGAACATTTCTTCTCTATCAATCATGGTAATGTAATTCAGATTTGACTGTTAATCATATTGTGATCACCTCCTTGTTTTTTTAATTGGGGTGAACATATACATGAATAATATGGATTATAATATGTAAGGATTTGGAATTTTCTTTTGTTGTTAGGCTGCTTTGGAATAGAACGCCAGTAAAGAATACTCCCCTACCTTCTTTCCTCTTTGTATTGTTAACTTGATGCGTCCTTCAAAAATGTCCTCTCCAACCGGTGGTGGATACATGTATTTTTAGGAAATTTGAATTTTATTCGGTTAATTATTTATTTTATTGATTGTTTTTATCTTAAATTTTATTAGCGTCTATCTCATAAAAAGTATGTTATTAATATGCGTCCACTATAAAAAATTATTCTTGGTTCACCCCTATCTCCAGCGCTCTATTTATCTTTAATATTCACCATGTTATTTTCCCCTACTTAAAAAAAAATTAAACCGGACTATAAACACAAAGATATTGGTATAGGTAATATACCCAGACAATTTGTTCTGGAGACTATAAACGAACATGGCTAACAAATGTTTAAGCATTATATGAGCAACTTGCTCGCATATATGTATCTCGTTTACCAATAACTTTCCTGTTACTATCTCTTCGCGGACTATAAATAAATCTAACTCAACGTTTTTCAACTACGAATGCAGAATAGAATTAGCAAAGAGTGCAACAACACTCGAATTATCACGCTATAATGTAGATTTTTCATTAGGTAAAAAAACAAGAAGCTAAAAAAGAATGTCGTGCTTATTTATAAGCAAAGAAAAGGGTAGCTTGCATGCGTTCTCTTTTTAGATAGGGCCAACATACGAACCTATAGTGCAAGAGTTTAGACCAGATTTTAAAACATATTTTACGAATGTCGCAGGTGCTTATGCCATAAATCTAGACAAACATAAGATTTGATGAGTACACTACAAGTATGCAGTGACACGAATATAAGGTTTCAGACTAAAATGTTCTTCAAGAGTGAGCCTCCCTCTAGCGTTCACAAAACCCTTTTGATGATTAAATTAAAAAAATGTTATTATCATGAGTTAATTGAGACATATAAAAGATTTTTCTAAATTTACCATGCCATCAGGGACAGGCGCAAAATTTTATGTTAGAGAGAAAACTTCTAGAATTTGAGTAAGAGATGAATTTATAAAATTACAAAAATATATTTTCAATAGAAAATATATAGAAAAAATCTAAAATATATGGTAAGATGACAATCCCCACTCGTCCTCCTTGGTCCATCCCTACGTGTCATATCCAGGGACGGAGCTATGTTGGGATCCAAAGGGCCTCGGCCATGTAAATTTTTTTATATATTCGATAGATTTTAGTCTAATAGTATTTTGGTTCATATAGAAATAAGTGTTCAATTAAAGAAATAAGTGTTCACTTAAAAAAATACACAAATTTATTAAATATTTAATCAAATAATAGCCGAACTAAAGAATGATAAGTCCATGTTCTCAAATTTTTTGGTCTAATAAGAATTTAGATCATTGTGAGTTTAAATATTATACAAATTAGACATTTGTTTTTGAATTTTAAGTTTAAATACCTAACAAGTCATTTTTTTAAGTTCAATATTTTGACCCTCCTCGATATTTATTCTTGGCTCTGTCAGTCGTCATACCAACCATATTCATAACACCACTCGTCACACCAACCATACTAATAACACCGGGGTTACTAGATGATGTAGGGGCTGCCACGTAAGATGCTGCTGATAAGATCAGAGCTGAAAGAATAGATGAAACCGTTAATCATGATTTAGAAAAACTAAAAAAAGGCATAGTAAACGATTTTAATTTTTCTTCTTCTTTAAAACAGATCAGGCATGATGTCTAAATAAGTAATTCTATAATCTAATACATCTGTATTTAAGAATTTAATGTCGTGACGATATCATATACATGACGTAAATATCTTTCTGAGTCTCCAGATTATTTTGTATGTCCCAAAATTCTTTTAAATTTACGCTTATAATAAAAAGAATTTAAATAAAAATAAGAGTTAAGTTCTAAAAAAATAATTATAAATTATAAACGTATTCAAGTATACAAAAGCATAAAAAATATTCAAACAAATATGATATATTATTAAAAAATAACATGCACATAACATACATACATTGTTTGGTTCAGTTTATGGTGTCTCTAGGTGTAATGTAATCGATGAATTTTGACCCAGATTACCTTGTTGGATATAGATGCTGAACTGTGGGGTGATTATACTGGTAGTTGGATTTCAAGTTTTTCTATTAATATTATCATGAATTAGATAGTAAAAAGATTCTTTCCTTACTCGACGGTCGATTATCGAACGAGAGTGGCTCTTAGCTTTTAACTTACGTTTTCAACTTGATTGAACGGCACTAGAATCCTACGTTTTTTGTATATTCCTCGTGAATACAACAAAGTTGTTGCCGATGAGATGTCCAAAATGGTGTGGAATTTATCCTTTGGAGTTCATATCTTCCTGTGGCCGCCTGCGATGGTGGAACCATTGATTCATGTGGATGCTGGTCAGAGAAAAACGCAGTATATTATGTTAAGAGACGAACCTCTAAAATTTTAGTAAGATATAAACTTATAAAATTATATAGAGTAAACTACACATTTAACACCTAAAGTTTCAGTTTTAATCCATTTTAGTCAGGGTCATTTTTAAGGGAGAGCATCCTAAGCAACCGCTCAGGGCCCCCCAATTTTTTTGTATTCATAATTAGGATTATCAATTTTTTATATTTATAATTAGGACTCCTAATTTCATAAAATTTTTAGTTATTGACCCTCTTTGTTCATTTTTCTTATTAATTCATTCAATTAAATTTAACCAATTTATAGTTATAATTAAGACCCCTAGTTTTTATATTTTATTAAATGTTTAGTTTTTGACCATCTTTTTTCATTTTTCTTATTTATTCATTCAATTTTGAATTAAATTTAATCTTGTTTTCTTTTTCAAATCTTTCTCTCCCATTTATCAAATATTCTTTAATTTTTAGTCTTCCACAGTCTCAATATAACAATAAAATAATATACCATTCCTTTTATTTATTTATTATTCAAAATCAAACTATGTGTCATACATGCATTCAATATTTTATATTTATTCTTTTTTAGTTGCATTTAAGGTGTTTTATTAATAAATTAACAAAAATAATATATTTTCACAAAATTTAATCATTTTTCTCTGATTTATTTATGTAATATTGAATTAATTGTTCAAAATAATTAAATATACATTCAATTTATAAAGACATATTTTTATTTTTCACTCAGGGCTCCAAAAATGTCTGAGACGACTATGGTTTTAGTCCTGAACTTTTATTTTTGTTCAAAAGCATACTTAAAGTTTAGTGTTTGTTTCATTTTAGTACCCTACTATTAAAAACTTAGCGAACGGGGTGACATGAAATTCTTACTCCATTTCTAATTTTCCACCCATATTTTTATAATCCACATCAGCATCCCACATGGAAATGTCGAATTATTATCCCGTTTATAGGTTTAATGTTCTTTTTTTGGGATTGTTCTCCATTTTCCTTTGTTTCTTCATTTTTTTGGATTCTTTATGGGGACAGAGCTTCCTTAGGGCCCAAAGGGGCCTCGACCCCTATTAAAATTTATATATTTGATATAATTTTGGTTTAATAATATTTTGGTTCATATAAAAATAAATATTTAAATTTAAAAAATATAAAAAATATTAAATATTTAATCAAGTAGGGGTTGAACTAAAGATTGATAAGTCTGTGTTCTCAAATTTTTGGTCTAATTATAATTTAAGTCATTGTAAGTTTAAATATTAGACAAATTAGAAGTTATCTTTTGAATTTTGAGTTTTGAGTTTTTTTTTTAATTTAGGGTGATGTAAGGTAATATTTGTACAAAAACTTTAAACTATTTGACAATAAACGCTCATACCTCTACATACGTTCTTGAACTCGGGACCTCGAGCACAACAACAATCCCTTAATCTCTAAGGTCACTTGGTTCATGATGAATTTCGAGTTTAAATACCTAATAAGTCTTTATACTTTTCTTAAATGATATAATATTTCAACCCCTGTTAATATTTAATTTTGGATCCGTCCCTCGTTGTTCCCAATTTGGGATTCATAATTTTTCTTCATTTTCCTTTGTTTTTTTCATTTTTGTGGGTTGTTCTTCATTTGAAGTTTAGTGTTTATTCTTATTTTTGGGTTGAAGGTTGGTCACTTGCTGGACCATTGCAATGGGACGAATAAGGCTTCGAATGAAAGGAATGTCTCTCCCACTTTATGGTATATAACTCTTCATTTTTTAGCTTTTGAATTGATTTCTTCTTTTTGGTCTCATGATTTTTTTACAGTATGTTTATAATATCAAAGACTTATTATGCCTCGAATTTCTGGAAAATCAATAGTCCTTGTTTTTTTGTTTTTATTGGGATTTCATAGTTTACTGGATACAAAGTTCCATGTTCTATCATGTTGTAATGTAAATATTTAGTTTAAGTTCAGTTTGTTTTGTTTATTGGGATACAAAGGTTCTGTCACAGTTTTCTGGGAAATCACTATGCCTTGTTTTTTTTTTATTGGGATACATATTAAATTTAGGTTCAGGAAAGATTGATTTAAGGATCAAGGAGTTGCTGCCAAGTTTAGTCAAGACTGTCATGGAGGATGTTGATTTAGGGTTTGATTTATGTTAGTACAAGGGTAGCAAGTCTTAGTTTAGGGTTTTTGTTATATTATTGAGATTAAACTTGTTGAATTTTGAATGTTATGAATGAAATGTATTAGGGTTAAACTTGTATTATTAGGGTTTAACAGACCACGTAATAAGCAATATACTCTTGTATGATTCAACTGTGAGAGGACCAAATCAAAGGACTCAAAAAGTGAAAAATTTGTATATCTTACCTCCACTCCCGAAGACGACTGCT